GCCGGGGGCGCAGCCAAAGTGGGTTGCGCTCTTTAACCCAGGCCAGGCCTAGTTTCCAAATCCCAGTCCGCTCGCCCCACTGAAATTGCTGTAGAAACAACCTCGCAGGTGATCCCCGTCCGGCAATTCCAAGCTTCTTGCCTAGCCCTGCGGATGGAGCCAGAATCGCTGGTCCCTTCTCCTCTGGGTCAGGTTGGCGAGCCTGAGCGGTGGTTTGCCTGCGGGGCACGCCGGCCCGCTGGAGAGAGGGAAACCAGGTCCCTCTGTGTCTCGTCACCCAAAACACGAACTCGTGGGCAAATCTCCCAGTTTTTAAGCTCTTTGCCTTCCCTCTAGAGTTCCAGCCAGCCATGAGCGCGGAGGCCCTGTATGCACGCTCGGTTCCTCAGGGGTCTGGCCAGCCAGGAGCACAATGGCGCAGTAGGCGCGCAGCTCCTCTCAGGGTCCAGCCAGCCAGGAGCACAAAGAAGTGGTCTGCGTGCACAGCCCCCTCTGGGATGAGTTGGCGCGCGGGGACCTGGCGCTCAGGAATTTGGCGTGCACGATCCTTCTGTGCCCCAAGTAGAGGTTTTTCTGTTTCCCAGTGACAGGGACTGTGTCTTGAGCAGTTTCAGACGCTCTCTTTTTCCCCCTCTCACTCCCCACAGAGGGGGATCGCCCCCGTCCCTGGAGTCTCCAGGGACCCTGCCCAATTTTATCTTTCCCAGTTCGCACTCACATTAGAAGGCTTTCTCAGTGGATTCTGCATCCTTTTTCTCCCAATCTCTTGGGTTCTGTAAGGTTTCTTATGGCTTCAGATCTTTTTCCGTGTGAGATATGGGGGCGAGTGCAATGTACGGAGCTCCCTACTTCTCTGCTATCTTCTTTTTCCAAGCCAGGGTTGTTAAGGTTTTGATAGCAGCATAATAGGACCAGCCAGCAGTTGCCAGGAATGATTTAAATAAAATGCCTCTGAATTCTGTCAGGCATTCAGACTGATTCTGAAAAGTCAGAACAATAGGAAAAGTCCAGCCAGATATGTAGCTCACCAGGTTCTGGAGTTATTTCTAAAACTTGAGATGACCCCTCATCTAGCATTTGGGGAGTTTAATTCTGACAGCATCCAAGAATTGAAATTGTGTTGGAGGTGTCCATTCATTTGGCAAATGTGAGTGACTAATATGTACTGGACACTTGGGGGCATACTATGTCTAGTAAGACACAGTCTCTGATCACGAGATACCTTCTAGTAAGGCCAGAGATTTGCAGACACATATCCTACAAGACAATTCTATATAATTGCAATACCCATGAAATACAGAAAGCGCATAAACAACCTTAAATTTTCACGAAGAAGCATCTGACCCAAGTCTTGGATAAATCAGAATTTGCAAGGTGGAGAAGCAGAAACATGTTCTTCTGAACAGTGAAAACAGCATATGTAAATGTTCTAGGCATGAGAGGCAATTTTTTTTTTATAACTACAGGACACATCAGTATTATATGAGCAAAAAACAAGAGCAAGGGCATCTGATGGGATCTCAAAAATGCTACTTCCTGGTGCCTGGGTGGTGGCTCAGTCGGTTAAGTATCTGACTTCAGCTCTAGCTCCAGTCATAATTTCAGTTTGTGAGTTTGAGCCCTGTGTTGGACTCTCTGCTGCCAGTGCAGAGCCTGCTTCAGATCCTCTGTCCCACACCCCCACTCCCACCCTAGCACCTCCCCTGCTCTTCTCTCTCTCACACACACACACAACACACACACATACTCTCTCTCTCTCTTAAAAATAAACTTAAAAAAAAGAAAATGCTACTTTCTCCATAGCTCAAGTAGCATCCTTTACCTTAAACTACCTGTTAAAGTAGAAAAAACATTTTGATATAAAAAACATTTTGTTTGATTGAAAAGAGACCTGAGCGCTGGCACTAGCTAATTTAATAGTTTTTGTTTCCTTGTCTGCTCCTTATTTTTATATACTGTATATAGACTATGACTTATTCTGACCAACCAGCAGTAACTGGCAAAGGTGAAGTCTCCTTATGAAATGTGTACAGTTTGCTTTGTGAATTTAACAAGTTCCTTAATCCCTTCTTTTGCTTCTAAAAAGGTGGGGGAAGAAGTGTCTAACTGATCTTTCTCAACCCAGCAGTTCATCTTCTGATCGTTTCTAATAGCTTGAGTCTAGAAGCCTTATATGTTATTTGCTCAGTAGAGAGGAAGCAATGGTATATAGAAACAAAATACTCTGGCCTTCTTTAACTTCTAGTAATTTTCTATTCTAAAGTTAACTAAATTCTATACCCTTTCTGGACCTTTCTATTCATGAAGGTACATCTTTTGTGCAATCCCATTTAAAATAACCATTTATAAATTTATTTCTATTTAACAGTCTGAGATGGAATTCATCCTGCTTTTCACGCTAAACTCAACATATTTTAAACTATTAAGATATGACTTACTATTTAGTCTTTAATAAAGAATCTTGAACAGAAAATTTGTGATTTTACTTTTTTTGGCCCTATGTAAGCCTCTTACTTACTTTGTAGCCAGCAAGATACATATTATCCATATATCTGTGTTGTTTTTCTTTTGCATTCTCCATTTAGCCTATATTCTGACATAAATAATTGTTGGCAAGCTTTCATGGGGCCACAGAATTGAATTTTTATAGGCAAATAAACATTTTTAAGAATGAGAATGACACATGCAGAGGGAGAGAGGCTAACCAAGAAACAGACTTTTAACTATAGAGAGCAAACTGACAGTTTACTAGAGGAGAGGTACATGGGGGGATGGGTTAAATAGCTGACGGGATTAAGGAGGGCATTTGTTATGATAACACCAGGTGATATATGTGTTAAATCACTATATTGTATACCTAACACTAAATAACACTGTATGTTAATTGGAATTAAAAGAAAAGTTAAAATTTAAAAAAATTTTTAAAAAATGAGAATGTGATACCGTAGGAAGGAAATTAAACAGAAAGTTGGGAACCCAGGTTCAAGTTCTATGTTTGCATGTAACTATTTATCCTTGAATATTTGTTTAACCAAGAGCTCTTGTCTTTAGTATTTATTTCTCTAACAAGAGATTTGAATTAGAAAACCTCTAAGTTCAATAAATACATGGCATGACTTTGGAACAATATTGATTTCAGATCTCTTATGACTTTTACATCTATAAATTAAAAGTTTTACATGCTAATATTTCAGACTTTTCAGTCCTGGAAATATTGTGGAAATCCTTATTAAAATTATGTGATTTGGTCTTGATTCAGAAAAGAGAGTCCTACCATATCTTTATTCATTTGCCATACTACAATTATGTGATTCTAGGATAGAAACAGAACAGCATCCATTTCATATCCACTGTGCCACCTTCTTCTCAAGCCACTCCTCTTCCAAATTTTCAGCCACTTTAACATTAAACTTTTCTACCTAAACTATAATTACCTCCAGAACTATGTAATTTATCTTTTTCTAAAGTCAATATAAATTATTTTTAACTCACAGTGGTATTTGTTCAGAACAGCTGGATCAAATGCTTACTGTGTAATATGCATAATGGAACATTAAGTACAATATTGATACAGGGAAAGGTATAGAATTCAAATAGCGATTTTGGGGTCACCTGGGTGGCTCAGTCGGTTAAGTATCTGACTTTGGCTCAGGTCATGATCTCACAGTTTGTGGTTCAAGCCCCATGTCAAGCTCTGTGCTGACAGCTCAGAGCCTGAAGCCTGCTTCAGATTCTGTGTCTCCCTCTCTCTCTGCCTCTCCGCTGCTCATGCTCTGTCTCTCTGTGTCTCAAAAATAAATAAACATTTTAAAAAATAGTGATTTTTCTGACAAAAATTTGGGAAATTATTTGAGGAGTTATTAGTTAAAATTTTCCAGGGGATATGCCTTTATTTTCTCTGTGTTCCAGGTCTTGCCTGAAATTTAGAAGCCCCTTTGTTCCCCTTCCTTTCTGGCGCTATTAGTGGTGATGATCACCTTTGAGGAAGAAAAGCCCACTTCCACTGACCATGGAGAATACACAGCATCTCTGCTTGATTGTGACAAAGACTGTTTTTGGATGGATCATGAAATGCTTCTAACGTAGCCAAGAATTAACTCTCCTAGCCTTTTTATATAATAAGCATGTTACCACCAAGGTAACTTATACAGTGGAATCAATTGCATAGTGGGAATCACATTATTTACACTTTTAACTTATACAGATTTAACTCCACTAAAACACAAATAAGAGAGAACATGAGTGAGAGAGAAAAATAATATTTTAAATAGCATATGTTTAACCTTCCTTTTCAGCAAGCCCCAGGCAATGGATAAAATCAAATCTGAAACAGTCAATTCATGATAGTTATAGCTACCAAAAGAATGTGAGGATAGTTTTAAAGGTTTCCTGGTAATTGATAAAGCATTTTCAAGTGGCCAGGCAAGTTTGGAGAGCTTCTTTGACATTTACAAGGGTTATTAAAGGTTGTCGAGAAGCTACATTGAAGAGTTAGAGGAACTGACAAAATACACAGAATGATATGGTGAGAACAAGTTGAAACTTTTGTAAATTTACTAAGTGTTAAAAGAAGTGAAAAACCTGATTAAATTTCCAAGTGCTCTTTATGGATTTTCAGTGGTTATTTTTTACCATACGCCATTACTGCTTTACAACCTGTTGCCTAAGTAAGATGCTACCCCACCAAATAGTATCTGTACCAATTTAGTGTAATAGTGTAAATTAATTAAGATAGTAATTATTCTACTTCAAAGTAGAAGTCTTTGAATTTGTAGATTCTATAATAAAATGACTATTTCCTGAACATCTTAGTAATTTGTGCCACCTATACCATTTTACTTTGTTATTACTAGAGTCTTTTTCCACCCATATCTACTGCTTACTACCTTGGGATTGTTAAAAAATAATAATAAACATAATTGGCTAAACCATTACTTAAACAGATGCTGTTTTAGTTATACCAAATATGTGATATACATTTTGCTTCTGTGATCATACAGGTGAACATGATTAAAGATGATGGGACAGTTATTCATTTCAACAATCCCAAAGTCCAAGCTTCCCTTTCTGCTAACACCTTTGCAATTACTGGTCATGCAGAAGCCAAACCAATCACAGAAATGCTTCCTGGAATATTAAGTCAGCTTGGTGCTGACAGCTTAACAAGTCTTAGGAAGTTAGCTGAACAGTTCCCTCGGCAAGGTAGGTATTTCAGTTTAGTGTCTTTCATTCTCCACCTCAGTTTAAAGAACCTAATGATTTAAAAGGTGTGCCATTTTATACTAGAAGGATTTGCTTGCATGTAAATTTTACTTTTTAAAATGTTGCTTTGCTTATATGCTTCATAATTTTTTTGAGTTTTCTTTAATAATTGTGCAGTGTAGCATACTGAATATTCAGATACATTTCAGGAGTAATAAAGAATTGAGAGGTAATTACCTAAAAGGAAAATGCCACGATCTGCAGACCACATTTTGTGGGCAATGTTTGGTATTCACTTCCGACTAATGACAAGAATAAGATACTGTTATTACAGGACTATATTTTTGTTTCATATTGTTGATTGTACTATAGGTGCAGCAATCATAAATTCTGAATTTCCAAGATAGTCCTGATTTCAAATGTGTATTGTCACCCCTAAAAATCAAAGAGCCTGTTACTTCAGTAGCTAGATACTTTGTTACACCAAAAGAGAGGGATAGTCTTGAATATCCATTTTTGACTCAGAGCATATGGAATTTAGAGCATAAATTAACTGTAATGTCTTTTTTATTTTACCTCATCCTGAATTATTTCAGTTTTCTTATAAATTTTACCTTCATTGCCCATTGAAATTGCCAGCTATATTTAGTATATGCCTAATGAAGTTAAAGTTTTATTGATTTTACTATTAAGTAAAAACTACGGTATTAGATCAGACAATCTTTAGCTTTTTCTGAACAACTATATAAGATTTAAACAGAAAAGAATAAATATTACAAGTATTCTATGTAGGCCTTTATTCTTCCAAGATTAATTTTAAAATAAACTTTTTGTAGTGTTGGATAGCAAAGCACCAAAACCAGAAGACATTGATGAGGAGGATGATGATGTTCCAGGTAAGTGACATTTCTTTAGTTTTAAGATTTTTAGCAGGGGCACCTGGGTGGCGTAGTCAGTTAAGTGTCCAACTCTTGATCTTGGCTCAGGTCATGATCTCACAGTTTGTGAGTTTGAGCCGCATAGGGCTCTACGCTGACAGTGTGGTGCCTGCTTGGGATTCTGTCTCTCCTCTCTGCCCCTCCCCAACTTGTGCTGTTTCTCTTTCTCTCAAAATAAATAAACCAACAAACATTAAAAAAAATGTAAAACAAAAGATTTTTAGCAGCCTGTTTATCACATTTAATTCACTATATAATGACTTTCAGTTTTTGTCAATGGTAAGCTCATAAATTTAAATAGATTCACAATGATATGGATTATAATCTAATGAAAAAGAATAAAAGCCCTCCCATTTAGAACTTAGAATCAGAAATTGTCACACAAAGCTCTGCTACCTGCATTTATTAAATTAGAATCACTGTGATTATAAGTTTGCATAGTTATTGTTAATTTTCTGTGGTAATTATGATTGACATACAAAAATGCTGTTCACCTTAGTAGTCTGCATAGACTAAAAAAGGACTTACATTTCCTTAGGATTACTGTTTAAAAAATTTTTTTAAATGTTTTATTTATTTCTGAGAGAGAAAGACAGCATGAGCAGGGGAGGGTCTGAGAGAGAGTGAGACACAGAATCTGAAACAGGCTCCAGGCTCTGAGCTGGCAGTCAGCACAGAGCCTGATGCAGGACTCGAACCCACGAACCGTGAGATCATGACCTGAACCGAAGTCGGACGCTTAACCGACTGAGCCACCCAGGTGCCCCAGGATTACTGCTTAAAAACAGATAAATGATGGGCGCCTGGGTGGCTCAGTCAGTTGAGCATAAAACTGATTTGATATCGGCTCAGGTCATGATCCCAGGGTCATGGGATTGAGCCTTGTGTCAGGCTTCGCACTCAGGATGGAGGCTGCTTGAGAAAAATTTTTTAAAAAGCAGATAAAGGAAGCATTATTAGTGAAATGCCACCAGTTCATTTCTGCCTCTTGTCCTAAATGTTTTCAGGCTAATTCTAGTAGCAACAATTTTGTTTTATTAGGGTTAGAAGATAGGAATTTCATTTAGCACTTTTAAAAAAAATCTTTTACTCATTTCCTTTTTTATTTTTTTTCAGATCTCGTAGAAAATTTTGATGAGGCATCGAAGAATGAAGCTAACTAAAAAATTTTTTCTGGTGTTTGGAAGCTGGCATGGACTAGATTTAACAAATCAGCTATGTGGTTCCAAAGTTTTACAGACATGGAGAACATCAACTGTTACTAGTTCAGTAATATAAATATTTTGTATATTAATAATGCTGTTTGTTCAGCATTTTTCGGTCATTTGATTTTGCATTTTGCACTTCCTCCCAGGATCTATTCTTTTGGTCAAAATACGAAGTATTGGTGCAGTTTGAGGGTGTTTTGGTGTTTGATTCTCAGTTTTTTGTTTTGTTTTTTGTTGGAGTATTTTTGGTGTGTGTATGTGTATGTATGTGTGTGGGTATGTGTGTATACAGTGGAGAGCAAATTGGAAAACAATTCTATTTATCCTCCTTCTTCCCCCAGTAGAAATAAAACAAATCTTTACATTTGTTACTTTTTATTTTTTTCTAATAATGCACAGAATTAATGAAAAGTGAGTATCTTGGATTTCAGATCTGAGGCAATTTTACCTTTGGAAGTTTGGTTAATTTGCTTGGTTAACATATTTTTCATACATATCTCTGGGTTTAAAATGTCTTGAGATATTTTGCCACAGCTCCATGTTGGCATAGTGGGTAGCAGATCTTTGGTGTTGTTGCCTTAGATTCACTTACCTAGTCACACCCAGAAGATTTTCTTCTAGCTCTCTTCCTAAATGCCTTTTTCCCCTCTCCCTTTGGTCTCCCAGTGGCCTGGTCAGCCTTTGGTAATGCTCTTCCTCATCTTCTACCTAACCTGAGAAGGATGTTCTCCATACAGAGTTAAGTGAGTGCCTAATCCCCTCTTTTTGTAAGACATTTTCCCCCCATCTTGAGGAACAACAGCTCCAACTTCAACTTTTTATTTCCCCCTTGCTTTTATAGTTTGGTAGATTTCAAACTGGAATAGCTAGCATGTGCTTGCTAAATAATTTTATGCCAGCCTTATCCTGTAGACTAGCTATTCTTAATAGCAGGTGCAAAAATACCTGTTTCCAGCAAGGTTAAAATTAGGAATGTCCTTTTGAGTCAGAACAAGATAGGCCATGGACTCATTCCCTAGCACAAAATGTCATTCTATGAAATGGTACTGGCCGCAGGAGGATTTCTTCAACCACTCTCCTACTATTGGTCTTGAACCTACCTCTGGATTGGATTTTACTGTTGTAGCTGCTCACAGCATCCTCCTGCATGCTTAGAGTAATGCTTTTGGGGGGACACTGATAAAATACAGTATTTATTTTTTCACCTCCTTTCAGAAGACTTGGAGGTAAGTTGCATTCATTAGTTCAAGTTTCCCTCTTGCTGTCTGATGATAAAAGCTTGCATTTTGCCATATCAGCGTTTGTTATAGCCAGTATTTAAGGATAAGATTTAAAAAAACTTGTCATTTCCTGGCCTACCAGTAAACTAACTGTGGCTTAACCTTGCAGCATATCAGCTTTTGTTTCAAGCTAGATATCTTTATTTGATATCTAAAGTGCAAGACCAACAACATATCAAGAGATCTTTAGACAAGAAGGCAAAGCTCTTGTATTTTTTTCACCCAGACACTTCCATTTATTTTATAAATTTGTTCATTTTTCCTGTTCTGTTTTATATAATATATGGACTTAACTACAAAATAAAGTAACAGTAATAAAATAACAAAAGAGGACAATATTTCCTCTTGTGCCTCTCTTATTATTGTCTACAGAATTTCCTTGTTTTGTATTGCCTCTCTACTCCCCACCCCCAGATGAATTTTAGCCCAGTTGTTATTTGAAATAATGTTTCATCTATTATTAGATCAGTAGCTCTAAATTTTCTACGTAGTCCAAAATTCTATTCTTCTGACTGTCCCTAAGGGGTACATTGTGGGGGAGAGAGGGTCATGGAGACTTCCAAGTAGTTAAGGGCATATAAGAGATAGTATATAGCAAATTTAAAAAAAGAGCACTCATCTGGAAGTCAGGAAACTTGGGTCTTAGTCCAGACTATACCATTAACTGCTTGGGCAGGTCACCTAACTATTCTAAAATTGATCATCAGGAAAGTGAGAGGTTTCCAAATCTTAATGTTTTTTCTGCTCCTGCAGTTCAGTGAATCTCATTTCTGAAAATTCTCAAGGAAGTGGTTTTATATTTTCAGAAATGTCTGTTTTTATCAAGATCCATTAAACTTTTTTGTGTGTATATATGTATATATATACTGCTTCCTCTTTTTTCTTTTGACTACATTTTAACTACTAACCCAGAGCAGCTCCAGTCAGTACTTCTTTTTATCCTATTGACAACAACTGTTAATGCCTGGCCTCTCTTGGGTGCAGTGAACCAATATTCTTTTTTGTTTTGTATTTTCAAACCTTCTGCTTTCCTGGACAAAGCATACTGAGATCCTAACTCAATCCAAAGCAATGTTCCTGCCTTTAGAGTGAGTAGGCATAGGTAAGAGTATGGATGAAACTTTTGTAAATACTGTTCTTGGCATAAATATTAGTTATATAGTTTTTAATATATGAAGTAGTAACTAAATGTATACTTTTTAGTAAGGTCATGTATTTATTGCAACGATAACAGTATTTTCTGGGGAAATTCACCTTAAATTTTTGGGATAATTAAAGAAATATCTGTAGAAATTGATTCATGGTCTTAATTTTTGGAATTAATCCTTTCCAATCATGCAAAGCTCCTCATTTATCTGTCTTGGGAAGCCCAAAGTAAATCATTGGGACTCTACTTGTTTTATCCTACTTTTCCTATCAAGTAATGGTTTAAGAATACATCAAGCAAGGGGCACCTGGGTGGCTTAGTCGGTTAAGCGTCCGACTTTCGCTTAGGTCATGATCTCGCGGTTTGTGGGTTCGAGCCCCGCGTCGGGCTCTGTGCTGACTGCCAGCTCGGAGCCTGGAGCCTGTTTCAGTCTGTGANCTCTCTTTCCAAAAAAAAAAAAAAAAAAAAAAAAAAAAAAAAAAGAATACATCAAGCAAGGGGTACCTGGGTGGCTCAGTCAGTTAAATATCTGACTCTGGGTTTTGGCTCAGGACATGATCTTGAAGTCTCTGGGTTCCAGCGTAGCCCCATGATGGGCTCTGTGCTGGCAGTGCAGAGCCTGCTTGGGACTCTCTCCCTCTCTCTCTCTACCCCTCCCCTGCTTGTGCTCTCTCTCTTTCTCAAACTAAATAAACTTAAAAAAAAATACAACAAGCACTTTTACTGTTAAGTATTATTTATGGGATTCCATTAAATTAATTTTAATATGCATACCAGATTCTTGTAAAGGCCCATGTTGGGGTGTGTTCGATTTGTTTCTTTGTTGGAATTCAGTGTTTAACCTAACTATGCAATATATCCACAAATGATAAGACATAGTATAGTATAACAGGAAATGCACAGTTTTTTAGTTAGAGATCAGTTCCATTACCTACCGTGCTGTAACCTTTCCAGCATGGCTGCTGCAATGTACAACTTCAGGGGCCATCATGTTTGCTGTGTTCCAGGGAGTACCATTTTCATAGAATACAATGTGAATAGTGCCCCTGTAATAGTACAGTAATGGTCTCGGGTTCCTTAGAACCCCTAAATGGTTAAGGTGAAGATGAAAGATGATTCAAGTGTGTCACCTCCCTAGCCATGGAAGAAAGGAGCTAATGGTTCTAGGCATAGCAAGGCTCTCTACACTGTGACCCTCCAGTTCAGCCTTTTGCTCTGCCACATATGAGTTTGCTTGGATTATTGGTCTCGATTATGAGTCACTTCCTTCAATTCACAAACTACCTAAATCTCATATCAGAGCATGTCACAGCTTTACATTTGTCTCCAACATGCCATTCTGTTTCAAGTTTCCTGATGGAAGATGGGGTGTCATCCCCAATATCTAGCAGAGTGTTCAACATGTAGTCTACTCGTAACTAATATATATTGAATACAGAGTTGTTTAACTCTCAAACAATCCAGTGGGACAGATATTCCAGTTCTACTCTTATTTTTTTTATAATGTTTATTTTTGAGAGAGAGCAAGAAAGAGACAGAGCGCAAGCAGGGGAGGGGCCGAGGGAGACAGAATCCAAACTAGTCTCCAGCCTCCGAGCTGTTAGCACAGAGCCCAACGTGGAGGTCAAACCTATGAACCATGACATCATGACCTGAGCTGAAATCAGATGTTCAACTGACTGAGGCACCTAGGCACCCCATATTTTTATTTATTTTTTAATTAAACTGCTCTTGAAATGGGGCTAGAGCACTAATGGTGGCCCACGTGCAAGCTGGTGAAGCTGGTGAGAATGAAGTGGACATGGTAGGTTATATAACCCCAGAGGAAACCATCTCAGAAAATGGCTTCAACATTCCTGTCCTCATGAAGCCTAGTTGTCCTTTTTCTTTCCCTGGGTTGCTAACTTGCCAGTGAGATTTTTGTGTTCTATAATATACTTAGAAAGAAACTTAACCAAAGAGGCAAAAGACTTGTACACTGACAACTACAAAACATTGCTGGAAGAAATTAAGACATGAATCAGGGGTGCCTGGGTGATTTCGTTGGTTAAGCATCTGACTCTTAGTTTCAGCTGAGGTCTGCTCTATTTCAAGTTTCCATTCCTTTGTTCTTAAAACACCTCCCTCTGCCACCATTACTGTTGTTTAAGCTAGATTAAGTGAGTGTACCCTGTAACTAAATGACCCTAGAGAGAAAACATTTGCATTTCCTCCATAAGAATCTGATCACAGATGAAAAGGAGTGCTTTGAAGAGATCACTGTCACTGGAGGGCATCAGATATATTAAATGAAGGAGTTGGAATAGATTAAGATATTTTCAGACCACTATGGACTGCTGGAAGTAGCATGAAGGTAGTGAAGTGTAATGGTAAAGAGGGTTTGAGGTGCCAGTAGTAGTTGTATATTCAGATCTGAGCTCCACCACTCTGTATGTGACTTGGATGTTTTACTTAACTGCCTAATCCTCCATTTTTCCATTTGGAGAGTGAGAGATGATAATACCTTGCAGAATTATTGGGGAAAATAAATGTATATGAAGTGTGTGCACATAGTAGGGACTCAGTAAATTAGTTTTTATTATTAAAGCATGACTGGGCTGCCTCACTGGCTCAGTTGGTTAAGCATCCAACTCTTGATTTCTTCTTAGGTTGTGATCTCACACTTTGTGATTCGAGCCTCACATTGGGG